CCGATATTGGCCTTGACAAGGAGCGTGGCCCTGCACCCTGCCTGCAGTTAAGAGTGTGTCTCTCTCCTATTTGTGTCGCTGGAGTCAAGCACTTGTAAGGCGTTCCATTAATGTTTGCTGGTGGAAAGAGTAAATGTATCCTGGAGGAATCACATGCCCTGTGCATAGGGGATAATAAGGCTCTGCACTCGACCTCTTCCTACCTGCTTCAGTAAAGTTAGGAAATGCCTCCTACCACGCTTTCCCTGGGCCAGAAGGAGGCAGCCCCTGTCCGAGTGTGAAACTGCACCCCCCCCCCCCCATCCCCTCACCCAGACCGAACTTTTAGAGTAAAGATGTGGGGGAAGGGACGGGAAAACCAGGGCCTGCAAATATTTAAGTGAATGTTTAGTGAAAGCTAAGATTGGTTGAGTGCCCACTATGTGGAGCCAATGGACCCTGCATGTCTTAGGTCATTTAGTTGTAAAGCCTGACTATACTAAAGATACCATTTAACCCTCAGCTCTTTTGAGAGGTTTATTCTCCCACATGTCACATTGCCCAAGGTCAAGTTTTAAGGTCAGCATCTTCCTAGATCCCTAGTGCTCATTCCATACTATAAATTCACTGCCATCTACAAAAAAAAAAAAAAAAACTCTGTGGAGGTTCATTCCGTCTGATTATACCACTCTGTCTCTTGAGATTGTTCTATCCTTCCCCAACTCATACCCTGTCCAGGGAAATTTTTGACTTGTAGTGCACACTCTTCCACTCGTTGATCCCAAAATACTTATTTCTGACTATGACCTATCCAGTACTCTGCTCTCTCAGCTCCTTGACCTCCTCTTCATTAAATTTGACCTCTGCACCAGATTAGCCAGGTTCTCCGGGACAGATGAAGCATTATAACTTCATGGCCAAAACTGTAAACTCAAACACCTCATTCTATGATCATAATTGCTGTCCTCTCTTCCATCTCAGTTAATTATCTTATATCTTGTATTAGTTGCTTAACGGTTTACCCCCAAACTTTTACCCCCAAAGTTTTTACAAGCATTTATTTATCTCAGAGTTTCTATGGGTAAAAAATCTGGATGTAGCTTGCTGTATACTTTTTCCTCCAGGTCTCTCGCAAAGATGCAACAAGATATCAAAAGGGACATGGGGAAACTCTCATCTGGAGCTCCATCCTCTGACTGAACGCAGATCTGAATCCAAATTTCATTTTCAAGCTCACTCATAGTTATTGTCAAGATTCAGTTCCTTGAGAATGTTGCACAGAGAGCCTCAGTTCCTCAGTGGCTCACTTTGTTGCTACATGGGTTTGTCCATAGGGCTGCTCATAGCAGAGCAGCTGGTTTTCCATCAAAGCAAACAAGCAAGAGAGAAAGAGAAGACAAGTATACCTGGAATGTAAAATCCCTAAACCCTTCTACCCTCTTTTTATCTGTTCCCTTCTCCTTTCTCCATTCTCTAGCGATCTATCCATGCCTGCCACCTGAGGAACTCAAATTCACCATGTCTCACAAGGAACTAATTTTCTTTCTTTCCAAATCTGCTTTTCCCTAATGTGTGTCTCAGCCCAAATAATGACACCAAAGGCTATTTACTTGCAAGCTCAAAAATCTGGATTTCACTTGTGATTCTTCCCTCATTCCCCCTATGACCCATGCCCTAGAACCACACTGCCTGGGTTCACATCCCAACAATATATAACCTTTAGAAGATGATATCTCTGTGCCTTAGATTTTTCATCTGTAAAATAAAAATGACAATAGGACCTACCTTTTAGGGTTGCTTCAATTTTCAGAATCATGAGTTACTATGTGTTAAATTTTTAATGATTACCAATAGAGAAAGGATTTGATGCTGGCTCCTATGACTCTAACGCTCATGATCTTTCTACTAGGCCTTTATAGGAAGGAAAGGGACTTTGAAATCCTTCCAGAAGACTTTTGTGCAGTGGAGAACACACCGACATACCTACATACATAGGTGTATGTGCAATCTGAAAATGGACAAGATTCGTTGAAAAGAACAAACAAAAAACTCTAATTTCTGAACTTAGAAAGTAAATTTAGGAAAAGTTCCTAGCAGTATTGAGCCTAAATATATTGATATAAATTATATACATCTAACAGACTCTATGCTAAGCAGACTATATATGTACTAACATATGCACTAAACAGACTCTATGCTTTTACGTACATTACATAATTGAATCCTTAGAATGACCCTATGAAGTAGATATAATTCATCCCTTTCTACAAAGGAAATCATAAGTGCATAGAAAAGGCATACAACCAACTCTAGGTCAAAAGCTCAGAGGATGGGGGTCAAAATTTGAACCCAGAACTTTTTACAGCAAATAGTTTGCTCTTAGCTATTTGACTAGCCGGCTTCTGAGGCATCCCAGTGTGCCCCCCTTCAGCCTGGCCTGCACCTATAGAATCCGGAAGCTGGCCAAAGAAAGAGTTTTCAACTCTCTGGTAAGTTTCTTTTGAGAAAACAGAATAAACTCCACACTATGGAATAACTCCAGCCTACCTCCAACTTCAACCCATCCTCCATATAACAAAGTTGGTGTTCATTCTAAAATGCAATTTTGAATCAGATTAACTCTCTCCTTAAAATTCCAGTGGCCACCCCGTCTTCACAGTAAAATTTCAACTCTTAGCATAGCACATTGTGCAGTATCCTCAACACTTGCCCCGACCTACTTTTCATCTTCTCCATTTTTTCCTTCTCCTCCTCATGTTTTGAAGTCTCACTGTATGTTTATTTAGAAGAAAAGCTTCACAAACCCAAGTTGTCTAAATTGGTGCTGTCTAAAAGAAGTTCCTGCAATGATGAAAATGTATATGAAATTTACAATTTGTTCAACAAAGGAGCCACCAGCCCCACAGGGCCACTGAGGAAGTGAGTTTTTAATGTTATTTCTTTTTTTTTTTAAGACAGAGTCTCAAGCTGTTGCCCTAGGTAGAGTGCCATGGCGTCACAGGTAACAGCAACCTCAATCTCTTAGGTTCAAGCAATTCCCTTGCCTCAGCCTCTCAAGTAGCTTGGGACTACAGGCGCCTCCCACAACACAGCTATTTTTTGTCGTGATGGTTGTTGTAGTTGTCAGTGTTGTTTTAGCTGGTCCTGGGAACCCACCAGCCTCAGTGCATGGGGCTGGTGACCTACCACTGAGCTTCAGTCGCCAACCCAATATTATTTCATTTTAATACACATGGCTAATGACTTTACTATATCAGCCTACGTGACGGAATTTGAATGTTGCTATCATATCTGTTATCATAATTCCCTATGTAGGTTTTTAATCTTCTATGTAGGTTTAAAATTATTTTATCGGTATGCTTTATGTGGTCCAAACTTGATTAAAATTCATAATGGTATAAGCCATCATTTAGAAAAACATTTTAAGGCTCATGCCTATAATGTTAGCACTCTGGGAAGGAAGCTGAGATGGAAGATTGCCTGAGGCCAGAAGCTTGAGACAAGTCTGAGCAACATAGTAAGACTATATCTCTACAAAAAAAAAATTTTTTTTTTAAATAAAAAAACTAGCCAGGCATGGTGGTATATGCCTGTAATCTCAACTGTTTGGGAGGCTGAGGGGAGAGAATCATTTCAGCCCAGGAGGTTGAGGCTGCCCACAACAAAAGTTGATAATGAAAAGTTCAATGTAAATGCTATTTTCAACCGTAGCCATAGTAGGATAGTCACCCCAAACACACATAGGGTTTCCTGTCCCTCTCTTTTTTCCATACCCATTTCCCTCCATATGGAATGCCCTTTCAGTTCAGACAGAGCTTTTCCCATGAAGTCTTCTGCAATGCCTCCAACTAGAAGTGAGCCCTCTCTTCCCTGGATGCCCAGCCCCTTTGAATGATACCTTTCGCAGGGCATCTGCTGTGTTGTCCCTGTGTCACGGTTACTGTGAAAAGAAAAGAAAAACAATTTATCCCATGTTTTAGGCTTAAGCATTATTTCTCAAACCTCATAACACATTTTATTTCAACCTTAGAAAGACTGCATTCTTCGTCCCTACTTAAATAGTAACTTTATGTAAAGTAGTTATAATATGCATTTTTACAGCTATATGACTTGGGCAATGGTTGTGAAACTTTTAGTTAATGTATCAACTTTATATTCTGGCTTGTTGTCATTTAATGGCAAGGCCAATTTTTATTCTATTCTCCCAAATGTCATTAATCAATAACTCTGCAATAGCCCTAGATAATTGTATATTGATTTGTTCCTGCTACTTCTTTTTTTTTTTGAGACAGAGTCTCACTTTGTGGCCCTTGGTACAGTTCTGTAGTGTTACAGCTCACAGCAACCTCCAGCTCTTGGGCTAGGGTGATTCTCTTGCCTCAGCCTCCCGAGTTGCTGGGACTACAAGCGCCCGCCACAATGCCCAGCTATTTTTGTTGCAGTTGCTGCTGCTATTTTAGCTGGCCAGGGCCAGGTTTGAACCAGTCATCCTTGGTATATGGGGCCTGCACCCTACCCACTGAGCCTCAGGCGCGGCCTTGTTCCTGCTACTTCTAAAGGCTTTGACCACTGTTAGGGTTTATCACTGCAGACTTTGCCACACAAATTTCTAATTTTAAAAAAGGCATAAGGAAAACTCCATTCAAGGGTACCACCTTTATTATAGGGCAGCATGTTGGTCTGGAGCTCTGTAAACTGAGATGATTACAAAAGAATGGAATCTGAGGATTCCTTTCTTTCTATCCTCAGACTTCTGAAGTCAGCAAACTCAAGAGTTGGGAAAACTTCAGCATGTGACAGCAAACTATATAACCCAAGAGATAAATAAACATTAATTACCCTTTATCCACCAAGGATATGTACCAAGACTCCCAGTGGATGCCTGAAACCTTGGATAATACCAAACAACACTCACTCACTCACTCTCTCTCTTTCTATATATATATGTATATAATGTTATATATATAATGTTTTTTTCGTATACATGTGTATGATTTTTTTTTTTAAAAAGGAGCCATCTGATCCTTTTGTAGTTCATAAGCATGACGATTGCGTTTTCATGTGCATGCGTGAGATGTGCCTCCCACAAATCTTGTTAGGACGTCAGCACATTGCCCGTCTGACATGAAAAAAAAGAGCCATTCAAACTATGTTCTCCTTCTGACCAGAACAATCATCAAGAGCAAGTGGCATTTGCAGCAAAGCAACACCAAAAGCTGGCTTCATGCTCAGGGGAGAACCCTGCACCTCCTTCTCATAGTTTCTGGTGCTCTACACATTCAGAGAAATTTCTCTAGTAACAAACTACAGAAATCATCCCAGAAAGTATAGTCTTCATGCCTATGGTAAAGTTTTATTTATAAATTAGGCACAGTAAGAGATCAACAATACTAGTAATAAAATATAACACTTAAAACAATATATTGTAATAAAGTTATATGAATGTGGTCTCTCTCTTTCTCTCAGAATATGTTATACATTTTCTGTTCGTTATTGTTGTCATTGTTTAGCAGGCCCTGGTCAGGTTTGAACCCACCAGCCCTGGTGCATGTGGCCAGCGCCCTAACCACTGAGCTGTGGGTGCTGAGCCGTCTTATTATTTTTGGACTGCAATTGACCACTGGTAACTGAAAATGCAGAAAGCAAAACCTAGGACTGGGGGTGGGGAGACTACTGTATGCTTTTCTTTCACAGAACAATAAATTGAAGGTATTTATTTAGAGGCTTAAACATCTCAGTGCAGGCATCTTTGCAATTTTCTTGGCTTTTCCCCCTTGTAGTTGCAAAATAGCTGTTTCAGCACCAGACACTGTAAGAAGAAAGAGGAAGAAGAGAGGGCAGGAGGAGGGAAGGGAAGGAGAAGCCTTCAAGAAGAAGGAATATACCAGTTCCAGAAATACCTGCCCATTTTTCTCAGGAGAGCAAATGTTTTCCCAGAAGTGCCTATCCTGAGGCCTCTCCTCTCTCTAGAGGGTGCTGAGAAGGCATGTAGATTGACAAGAGAGATGGGAATCAGGAATGGGTGCTAGGGTGACCTGAGCATTGAACCCCTTCTTTGCTTCTGGGCCTGTTTTGCCCTCCTAGAGCTCTGTACTATTTATTCCCAAGCCCCATTCCTGGGGCTTTTATCAAGGCAAAATCCTGGTCCCTCATTCTCTCTAGACTAACAAAACCTAAAGCAGTCAGATTGAGTTTCTTCCCCGTCGTCTCCACTCCTAAAGGCCAGCCTCCTGAGTGTACGGGCCGGGGAGCATGGGCTTCCTCCACTTCTGTTTATGGGAAGGCTTCTGTCCGCTGGAGGACATAACCCTGTGTGCATTGCCCTCTGCTGCTCACCGTGGGTCCGGCAGCTCTAGCCATACTAGGAAAGTCACCCCAAACACACCTAAGGGCTTTCTGTCCCTCTGTTTTTTCCCTATCCATTTCCCTCCACATGAAATGCCCTTTCAGTTCAGACAGAGCTTTTCCCATGAAGTCTTCTGCAATACCTCCAACTAGAAGTGAGCCCTCTCTTCCCTGGATCCCCTTTGACTGATACTTTTCGCACGGTGTCTGCTGCCTTGTCCCTGTGTCACAGTTACTTGTATAACAGTTGAACTCACCTGAAATTTTTTGATAACAAGCTCCTATGAGTCTTGTTAATTTTTGTTCTCTGTAGGCCTGGTACTGCCTTATAAAGAATAGGCATTCCATAAGTATGTTTTGAATTCAATTGACATATTCAGTCTGTTTGAATGTCTGTGATGACTTATTTATCTACTCTTTGCATTCTGTATATATATCCTTTGTGTTTTCTGGAAATTGAACTAAGAATTTTGAGGGCATTCAGGTGAAAGTTGGGCTTTAGAGTAGAGATTATTGGTCATTGGACAGGTGCCAAAATAGGATACTTCATTGAGTGACAAATTTCATTTAACTTCTGCCAATAATAGATTGTGTCTCATCCCTCCCCCGTCCTGAACTGGAAACTACATATGCCTTAACTTTAGCTTGCCAACAACTATTCAGTGACTTAAATAATATAGATGTGTATTTCCCTCTCACATAACAGCCCAGGATGCTGACTTTCCTTTTGTAATCGTCCAAAGACAATAGCAGCTCTCCCATCCATTAACAGGGATTCTAATTTAAAAAAAAAAAAACTTTTCTCATTAAAGTCAAAAGCAAATGAAGAGGGATCTTGTGATGATGCAGAAACATTCTGAGGAGGAAAAGAAAGATGTTGAGATGGTCACACTGGATTTTCTCAATCTTCTAAGTAAAGTGGGAAGTCTGGGCAATCAGAAGACAGGATAAGTTTCTATAAAAGCAGTGACTCAGGATTAAAGACGAGGCCCTTTCCAGAGAAAACAGTGCCCTGGGGCTGATCCAAACCAAAGCCGGACTGACTTCTGGAGTGGATAGGCATGTTGTCAGCTGTCAGAGCTTGGGGACCTTTGGAGGAATAAAGACAAGTAAAGCAAGAGGTCAGGATCTGAGTGGTTGGTGAAGGTTGGGAGTGCAGGGACAAGCCCAGAAGTGGAAAAATAGGCCCCAGGTTTTGTGAACAGAAGCAGGGTGGGCTGGAGTGTTGGTTGTAGAGTAGCCATGGTGAATGACCAGAGTCCAGACAAACATGTCATTGCTGGGAGTTGAGGGGCAGAGTGGAGCTGAGGCAGAAGGCCAGGCTTCGGATAGCAGCTTGAGGGCACAGTCCACTCAGGGAAGTTTTCAGGAGCATTTGTGCATTTTTTTTTTTCAGGTACCCTTTTCTGAATCTCCTCCTAATTAATCCTCCCAAAGGATGACTATTTCAGGTGGAATAATACTCCATTCCAGCCACATTCCACATAAATATCACAGAGATACCAAAAAGCAGAAAATCACCTCTCTTTCCTCTTTAACCCAAGTCTCTGTTTCCATGTATTTGAGAGTGGCATAAATTTCAATAAGAAACAATTTTATGAAATGGCAAGATAATTCTAAAATTATACTACACCCTGTTGTTTAGTGGAGAACAGTTAATAGAGTTTGCACTCATAAGAGTGCTTCAGAGGATAGGATGTTATTTTATGCTGCAATTGAAACAGGCTAAACAACCAAAGAGTTATGTGATGTTTATATCCTTAAAAAAATAAGAAAGAAAGGAAGCTCTTTCCCAACACCACTGAGCTCTTGTGCTATTTCCCTCTGCCTACAGCCCTGTCCCTAGAACAGGGAAGAAAAATGGACAAAAATCTCTACCTCCCAGGAACTCACATTGTAATATCAGAAACTCAAGATGATTAAACTTTAAACTTGGATTAAAAGTACTTGCAACTAAGGCAAAGACAAAAAAGACACATTAAGGTTATATAATTCTCACTGTCTAATCAAAGAAAGCGTATTATTTAATGGGAAGAGAAACGTTTCCCTTGACATTGAATTCTAGAAGGCTTTCATTACATGACTCTTTATCTAAAGAGCAATGAGTAATAAAATGGGCACTGTTTTTAACAAAGTTTTATAAGAGAGGCAGAAATGTGGTTATTTCTTATAAAAGATCACATAAAACCTAAAGGAATCCCAGTAGATTATTTGATGAGAAAGCTCATGGTAGGAAATAGTGATCATGAAAGAAAAAAATCTGCTTATAAAAAATAGGGCCAAAATACCTACTTCTCTCTGACAGTCAACCAAAATATGTATTCTTATCCATCCAGTGACCTTGAAATTGCTCTCATTAAATGTCCCTTTCCCTTGATTCTGGGTGGGGCTTTGCTCTGCCTTAGCCAATAGAGTACAGCAAAATAGACTTCTGAGGGTATATGGTAAAAGTGGCATGTGCTTCTCCCTTGTTCCTCTAGGATGCTTGCACTTGGAACCTGCCAGTTTCCTTTGAGAAATCCCATAGCCATGTTCTGGCCAGTAGGTCCAGATGAGTTCTTAGACAATAGCTGGCATTAGCAGCCAGATAGACATGTGAATGAACACATCTTTAGCTGACTCCAGACCCTCACCACTGAGTCACAGCCTTTGAGTCTTCCCAGCAGAGGCGTTGTGGACTGAGACAAGCAATCCCTTGTAGGCCTTCTTTTAACTCTTGATCCACAGAATCCATAAGCATAATAAAATGGTGGTTGGTTTATATCACTAAGTTTGAAGTGGTTTAATACCCAGAAATAGTATCTGGGACAAGGTTGTATACAGAATTTAGTCACTACAAATAAAACGTTCATATTCATGCATTTCTTTTCTTTTTTTTTTTTTTTTTTGAGACAGAGCCTCAAGCTGAGCCCCTGGGTAGAGAGCTATGGCTTCACTGCTCACAGCAACCTCCAACTCCTGGGCTCAAGCGAGTCTCCTGCCTCAGCCTCCCAAGTAGCTGGGACCACAGGCGCCCGCCACAATGGGCTATTTTTTGGTTGCAGCTATTATTGTTATTTGGCGGGTCAGGCTGGATTCAAACCCACCACCTTGGGTGTATGTGGCTGGCGCCCATGCATTTCTTTTGGAAACATATAAGGGTCATAAGTTATGAAGATATTTAGCTTTGGCAGTTAATGCCAAACTTTTCCCAAAATTATTGTATCAAGTTTTACTTCCACCAGCAGTATATGAGAGTTCTAGTTCTGCATTCTCCCTAACATTTGATATTGTCAATCTTTTTAAATTTTGGCCATCCTGGTGGATGTGTAGCAGTATCTCATGGTCATCTTAATTTTCATTTCCCTGATTTCTAATGAGGTCAAGCATTTTATAATATGTGTATCTGGCACATGGTCATAAAGATATTTTCCTGTATTATTTTCTAGGAGCTTTATTATTTTGCCCTTCACATTAAAAGCAACAATTCTAGAAAATACTATAATAGATATAATTTCATTTATATTCCCTTCAATCTTTCTCTTATGGCCATCTTAGCCTAATCCAAAATGAGGTAATAGAGTGAAAAAGAATCTGACTGTGGGATAGTCTCCTATTTCCAGAGATTAGAATTTCTTAATTACAAACCAAATGATAAACTCAAATGCTGGCCAGAACTGGTGGCTCATACCTGTAATCCTAACACTCTGAGAAGCCAAGGCAGGAGAATTGCTTGAGGTCAAGGGTTTGAGAACAGCCTGAGCAAGATTGAGACCCCCATCTCTACTAAAAATAGAAACA